CTGGAAGATGCCCCGCTTTGGGGACTGGTCCCAGCCTGCTCCTGGCTGCCAGTGCCTCCTGCCCCCCCACCCCCTCCTAGCCACGCCCAGCCTTGGCATCACCGATGGCCCCCCACACATCGAAGACAAACTCGTCAGGGAAGGCGAAGTCACCGAGCTGCGCATCCAGGGCCTGGGCCAGCTCGTCCGGGTTCCGTGCATCCCGGCCCAGCTCCACCATCGTGGCTGCTGCAGTGGGGAGGGAGGGGGCAGTTAAGCAGGTGCCCATAGAGCCCCCTAAGCACCCTAGTGGGGCACCACGGAACAAGCTGGTGGGAGGTAATGGGGGGTTTGGATGCCCCACCCTGGCAGGGGCCTGCCCCGTGGAGTTGCCCCTGCTCCCTGTTCCTGTCCAGGCAGGCAGTGGGGGGCTCCAGCTCACCCAGCTCTGTGTCACGGATGCCCATGTAGCTCTCCAGCAGGTCGTCTACCTTCTCGATGGCCCGTTCCTCAAATGCTGATGGCTGCCAGGGAAGGGTTGGGAGGCGGGGGGAGGAAGAGTTAAGCAATGCTGGGCAGGGGCCCAGCAGGACACTGCTAAAATGTGCCCCCCTCCACAGGCCCCAAGGCTGGGCCCCTCCAAGCTCTCCTCAGTTATTGGGACTGGTATGGTGAGGGGGCAGGGGCTGCAGGTCAGGAGGGGCACATGGAGTGAGGGGCACTACAGCATGACACAGGCAGGACCTCCCACTCATACCTGCTCCTCCACGGTGGCTGGCCCCTTGGCACGCAAACGGAGGGTGCCCCTGCCTGTGCCCAGCTGAGCACTGCTCCCGTGCCGGGCACCTGATGACCGCTGCCCAATCATATCTGTGGGGGAGCAAGAGGCCAGATCAGTATGGGGCCAGAGGGGGCAATTCCCAGATCCACCCCCAACAGGGCCAAGAACCTGTGGCTGGAGGGAGGGGTCCCAACTCCAGTCCATGGTCCCCTGGAGCCTGAAGCTCCCCTGTGCACCCCCAGCTGGCTTAGCCCTGCCCAGATGGCACACCGGGCCTGGCACGGAGCAGGCAGTTCATGTCAGCCACTGCTGCACGCAGGCCCCTTGTTCTCCCTGCAGGGCAGGATGGGGAAGGGAGGTCCAGGTGCATCTGGCATGGGCACCTGCGGGTGAGGGGGTGGGACCAGCCTCTGGGAAGGGCCCTGCAGGGGACCAGGGCTGGTGGGTCCAGATGGGAAGTGGGGGGGCACTTGCAGCCCAGTGCTCATTAAAAACCAATGCAATAGGCTGGACCCTGTCCCAGGGGCAGCGGCAGAGCTGGAGGCGGGGGAAGGTGGGGACACACATGACAGGGAATTTGGGTCAGTAGTGTGGGGCACTGGCAGGGCTGAGGACTCTGTGCAGCCAGGGCAGCCCCCCCCAGTTACTGGCAGGGAAGGATCCAAGAGCCAAGAGGAAGCGGCTCCCCCCCAACACCCATCCCAGGCCCCCATGAGTCACTGCAGGAAGGAACTCAGTGGCTGAGGCCAATGGAGGTGCCAGGGCCTGGACACCCAGGTTCTGCTCCTGGCCGGGGGGGGGGTGTCCTGGGCAGCTTCCCTGGGCCACAGGGTGTCTCCTGCTGACAGCCCCGACCTGGTGCTTAGGAGGGTCCTGCCCCCTCCTGGACACATGTGGGCACTGCAGCCTTGGGGGTGGGTCTCCATGGGCCACAGAGTCACAGCGCCATCTGCTGTCCCTGCATGGCAGTGCAGCCCCAGGGCCAAGTGTTTGGGGGGGCGAGGGCCCTCTATGGGCTGTTTCACCCTTTCTGTTTCCCCAGCACCAAGCACCCAGGGCTCCCCACCCAACAATGCTCCACTTGGAGCCCTGCCCCTGCCCTCCCACCCAGTTCCTGCCCCACCCCAGGGTCCTGCCCCCACTCCTGCCATACTGAGGCCCTGCCCCCACCCCCCAGGGCTCCATCCCTGCCCCAGCTCCACATTTGCTCCACAAGGCCCTGCCCCTGCCTCATGGAGGTCCCCCCACCCCAACTCACCAAAGGCCTTGAGGGGCTCAGTAAGGTGCAGAGTGAAGCGCCGGCCCGTGGGCAGCTCCTTGAGCATCTTGGCCACCTCATAGTGGCGGGCACCAAGCAGGCTGCGCCCATCAATGGCTTCAATCATGTCACCCACACCGATGAGGGGGATGCGGTCAATCACGCTGCCCTCCTTGATGCGCTGTGGGGGCAGGGGTTGCACTGGGATTCATGGCTGGGACAGTGAGCACCCCCCCTCCCCAGTGCCTTCCTGGCACAACCAGCTGGCCTTGGCCCCTCACTCCTAACCCTGCCCAGGCAGGGACCACAAAGGGCTGTAGGTTGGGAGTAAGGGACAATGGCAAGCTGGCAGGGGGAGGGCAGTGGTCCGGGACTGGAAGTGAGGGGCACTGGCTGGGTTGGGGGAGCAGTGGACTGAGAGTCAGGAGTGAGGGGCACCAGCAGGGAGCTACTGATCAGGAACGAAGCCTAGGTCCTTCCTGACCCTGCCATGCCCTGAAGCACAAGGACCCGTGTCCCCAGCTGGATCGAACATGCCCCCTGCATTGACTCCTTCTGCCCAGATTGCACTGCCTCACTTTGAAGGGGCTGAAGACCCTGGCACGGACCTGCAGCCATACATGGGGCCTTCTGCCCACTGCCGAGATGTGCCCAGCTTTGGGGCGGAACATGGAAGTATGGAACAGCAGGGCAAAAGTCTGAAGCCCCGGAACTGGAGAACATCACAAACTGGGGATTAGCAGATGCCAGAGGAGATTTGGGCTGAGGCAGCAGGGCTGTGATCCCACCCAGACCCTGGGGGCTGTGGGTGAGGAGTGACGGGCGCCAGATGCTGTGGGTCAGGTCCCACCTTGATGAAGGCATAGCCGGCCCCATTGTCAGTGATGGTGAGCCCCAGAGCGTCCTCAGCCTTGAGCACCTCGACTTCTTTGCGCTGCCCCCGTGTGTGGGCAAAGATGAAATCCTCCAGGCCAATCTGCCCCCCCAACAGCTTCTCCATGTCCACCTTGTGTGTGTTGAGGGTGCAGAACATCACCTGTGGGTGGGGAGGAGTGGTGAGCAACACCAAGAGGCCCCATTCCCTGCCTCTCACCCCCCAGACCCTGTCTTCTTGCATCCCAGGCCCAGGACCCCCATCCCTTCCCCCCTTGAGGTTCCACCCCCCTGCCCACCCCTGCCTCCTACCAGGTCCCTCA